ATTTCAAGCTTAGTTTTGTCCTTTTATTCAACTTTTTAACTTTGAACAGATGTAAATCTTCAGAAAAATTTCATGAATAGTCTAATAAAATACGCATACCTATCACCTAGCTTCACCAATTTTTTTTTATTGTGATAAAGGTATGAAGATACCATTTTAAAGGATACAATTTAGTGGTATTAAATATATTAATATTGTTGTGCAGCCATCACCACCACCCAGCTCCAGAACTTTTTTCATTTTCCCAAACTGAAACTCTGTACCCATTAAACAATAATTATCCATTACCCTCTCCTCCCAACTCCTGATGATCACTATTCTGCTTTCTCTTTTAATTTGACGAGCTAGGTACTGCCTATAAATGGAATCATACTATATTTGTCTCTTTGTAACTGGCTTATTTCACTTACCATAATGTATTAAAGGTTTATCCACGTTTTATCATGTGTCATAACTTCATTCCTTTTAAAGGCTGAATAATATTCCATTGTATGTATATACCACATTCAGTTTATCCATTCATATATTGATGGAGTTCTGAACTGTTTCCACTTTGTGTGTGTGTGTTAATCCTCACTTGAGGATATTTTTTTATTGCTTTTCAGAGAGAATGCAAGGGAGGGAGAGAGCGGGGAGAGAAATGGAGGGGAGAGAGAGAAAGAGGAAGAGAGGGAGAGAGAGAAAGAGAAGGGGAGAGAGAGGAAGAGGAAGAGAGGGAGAAAGAGAGAGAAAGAGAAGGGGAGAGAGAGAGGAAGAGAGAGAGAAAGAGGAAAGAGGAGAGAGGAGAGAGATGTGAGAGACACATTGACTAGTTGCCTCCTGCATGCGTTGGGAATAGGGGCGGGGAGCGAACTACAACCCAAGTAAGTGCCCTTGACTGGGAATCAAACCGTGACCCCTTGGTGACCACACTGGCTAGGACTGTTTCCACTTTTTGGTTATTGTGAATAATGCTGCTGTGAACACTGATGTACAAATATCTGTTTGAGCCCATGCTTTCAATTCTTTTGGGTATATACCTAAAAGTGGAATTTCTGAATCATAAGGTAATTCTTTGTTTAATTTTTTGACTGTTTTTCATAGTGGCGACATCGTTTTACATTCCCACCAGCAATGCATAAAGATTGCAGTTTCTCTACATCCTCACCAAAATGTTATTTTCATTTTTTGTGTGATAATAGCCATCCTAATAGGTGTTAAGATTCACCAATTTTAAACCTTATTAATCAAAGGATTCTTAAAGTATTTGTTCTGAAATTCCTGATTTTTATTATTTCAACTCAATAAATTAAAATGGCTCTCTTGCCTTTTTTTTTTTTGTATGCTGTTGCCATTATTCTGAAAATTTCGTCCCATATTTTTATACCTAGAGCTTTACTCAGGTATTGGGGAACTTGACTTTTCCAAGATGTTGTGAGTTAGATGATGTCATGGCACATGAGATTCAGTAGATGTGTTGGTAACATTGGTGAAAATACAAGTAGAAGACACTTTTTGTTATCCTTGTTGATGGCTGCTTTGTTGAATAGTTTTAACAACAGCATTCAACAATATCTTTCAATTCTATTGCTGATTCACAATGGATTATTTGTATAATTTTTCTGAAACAGGCTGGCATATGACCAAAGTAACCTTTGAATAGCATTTTAGAATTTTACAGCTTTCATGTAAAGAAATAATTTGTATAGCAAATTCTGGATGATATATTCCATGGTTTGTGATGTTGCTTTTTTAATTTAGTTGTAAGATTCTTCCATATACTCAGAAGGCAGCTTCAGGGTCCCTCTTTAAATCCCTAGACCTAGCTGTATGAAAGAAATAGAGTAAAATTGGGTAGATCATAATGCCTGGCTTCATTCCTCTGATGATAGGTAATGGGTTAACTAAAGGCTCCTATATCTTGGGATGCGGATGAATAGCAGCCAGACAACGAATTGCCTAAGTCCATTTGTGCTAACAGCATTAGATGATTGAGTCAGATCTTTGAATAGTTCCTGATGCTGTTACCTCTACTTTACTAGTCTTTGGCTTGTAAGATGACCTTGCTGTATAGTGCTATATTCTAAAGATACATTCGGTTCAAAGTGTGTTTCTACTCACTGTGTTGTTGCTAAGCAAATAAAAGAGAATTTTGACGAAGGTCTTGCTATAAATACAGAGAGATTATCCTGTAGCGCTTGCTACATAGGGTACATAATTATTTGTATTCCTCCACCCCCTCTTTATTTAAAGATTTCAGCAGCTAAGCCATTAACATTATATGACTTCTCACTGACATGATTTCTCCACAAGTTGGGATCCAGGCCACATTGTTGTATAAGGACACAAGGCTTTGGTTTAAATGATGGGAATGCTGAGTGTTTTTTGGTCTCTGTTTGATAAGGCTGGTGCTATCACTTCTTTTTGTAGATTATGGGGGAGTTATTTATTTTTAAATGTTTTTATTGATGAGAGAGAGAGAGAGAGAGAGAGAGAGAGAGAGAGAGAGAGAGACATTGATGAGAAAGAGAAACACACTCCCTGCACACCCCCTCCTGGGGTTCGAGCCCACAAACCTGAGCATGTGCCCTGACCGGGAATGGAATCAGCGACTTCTCGGTGCATGGGATGACACTTTAACCACTGAGCAACACTGGCAAGGGCAGTAACTGGGGACTTTAAAAAGAAGCCTACAGATGAACCAACTTTTACTTTATCTTAGAAAGAAAAGTAAAAAAATGTATTAATAGACAACACTTACAGAGGAACCTCTGGCCCGTGGGCCATATAAGGCCCGTGAAATCATATGGTCTGGCCCTGCTAAGGCATTAGGGGTGAGTTAATTAAATGTTTGACCAAACATAGCAGGCTAATTTTTAAGTTGACAATTTTGTTTGGCCTCCAAATGATGTTATAAATATCAAATGGCCCTTGGCAGGAAAAAGGTTCCCCACACCTGATAGAAGTAAATAGATCTTACATGTCACATATAAGAAGAGTGCCTAACAATTACTTTTACTTTTGGACTGGTCAAAAATAAAATTTAAATAATTCAAAAACTACCTCTTTCATTCATTTCAAGTCATACCCTTCAGATTTCTAGAACTAACTCATTTATGCTTGCTGTGAATAGATGTAGTATCTACCCCTTGGAATGTGGAACCTGGAGGCAATCAACTGAGAACCATGACCTACACCATAATTCTTAATAATCCGCTCACTGGGAAGTGCACCACTGCCACAGAAAAGCAGGTATGTCCCCTCCACAGAAAAGCAGGTATGTCCCCTCATCAGTATTCCAGAAGAATCACACATGTGGGAAGAGAGAAAATGCCTTTCCCAGTCACCAGTTCACAAAACAATGTCAACAAATAAATGGCAAGAGGAAAAGGGAGCAGAAACTGTTATAGATTAAAAGAGACTTAAGAGGCATTTCAACCCAATCCTAATTCAAACAAACCACCTGTAAAGTCCTCATGAGATTTAAGAAATTGTTAACTTTTTGTCTGTAATGGTATTATAACTATATTTTAAAGGAAAGAATATTTATCTTTTAAAGAGACATAATGAAAAATTTATAAAGAGATAAACATATTTATGTGTTTACTAGAGGTCCGCTGCACGGATTCGTGCACTGGTGGGATTTGGCCAGCCTGCCCCATCAAGGCCAATCCGGCCGGGCCAGCTAGAGGAAGGGGACTCCGAGGTTGGCCCTGTCCCCCAATCAGGGTGGGGGGCTGATCGGGGCCAGTTGGAGGGAGGGGCCCTGGGCGGTTGGTGGGCCAGCCCCCCCCCCCCAGTTGAACTATGGTTGAACTCCCAGTCAAGGGGACAATTTGCATATTACCCTTTTATTATATAGGATGGATGAAATTCTATTGATGTCTGGGATATTCTTTAAAAGTAACTAGCCAGGCAGAGGATGGTGTGTGTATGTGTGTGAGAGGGATTGTGGGACTGGGTATAGATGAAACAGGACTAGGCTGAGTTAATGTTGTTGAAGCTGGTTGATGAGCTTATGAGGGTTCATTATGCTTAATTTCTACTCTTGTGTATGTTTGAACCTTTTATTTTTATTTATTTTTAAAAAATATATATTTTATTGATTTTTTACAGAGAGGAAGGGAGAGGGATAGAGAGAGACATCGATGAGAGAGAAACATCAATCAGCTGCCTCCTGCACACTCCCTACTGGGTATGTGCCTGCAACCAAGGTACATGCCCTTGACCGGAATCGACCTGGGACGCTTGAGTCCGCAGGCCGACGCTCTATCCACTGAGCCAAACCGGTTAGGGCTATTTGAACCTTTTAAAAAAATAAGTGGGTTTTAAAAAAAACTCTAATGGCAGGGCTGGGAGTGGGCTCAGTTGGTTGAGTGTTGTCCTGTGCACTGATTCCGTTCCCATGGGGTACATATAGGAGGCAACTGATCAATCTCTCTCTCTCTCTCTCTCTCTCTCTCTCTCTCTCTTTCTCTCTTTCTCTCTCTCTCCATGTCCTCAGGTGAGATTAAAATAATAATAATAATAATAATAAAATAAAAAGAACGCTATTGGAATTTGATTTGCAGAATCATGCCAAGGGTTAGGGTCAAATAACTAGAGGGCTGCTGTGACATGGGGAAGAGATGATAAGATATTTAATACCCCACTCAGTGCCAGCATGGCACTGTTTTATAGCAGAGCTTGTGTTTGGCCAGTTTGTGTTGAAGTATAGTGCATCTGTTGTGCAAATAGTTTGAAAATATCTGTTAACATCTGAACTAATTATGCTATTGTAGTTTTGTCCATCAGTGTTAAAAATGTCTTAAATTTTTTTTCAAAAGAATTTCAGACAATTAAGAAAAGTTTGGTATTTTGGTATGAGATTCTTTGATAACCTTAGAGAATAGGTATAAAAGGTATGATTGCAGTAAGAAATTTTTGGCCAGCAACCACTTCAACCTGTTTAGGAAAAGCAGTTTTTTGTTTGGTGGCCTGCTTTTTTGGTGAAGGGTGGTTTTATGAAACTTGAATTGTTTCCTAACAGGAACATTTAAAATTCTTTATAAACTATACATATTAAATATACATAAGAGGTTATATGGCTGCTTTCTCCTCCTCATGCCTAAAAGGAAGAAATATAATTACACTATGAAATAGCGGAGAGGCAGCAAATACCATTTCGGCAGGCCCCTTCTTCTCAGTTCACAGACAGCACAGCCAACGTGGAGGCTCTTCTGGCTTTGTACATAGGCTTGGCATGTCTTTTGTAGTTTCTGAAAAAGAATTCTAATATATATGTTCGGAATGGGCAAGGAATCTGATATATTAAACATGTACACACAAAATAATTTTTTTATTGTATTTTGGCAGACACTGTATAAAGAAAGTCGGGAGGCACAATTTTATTTGGTAGATGCAGAAGTGGTGACGCACGATGTCCCCTACCATGACTACTTCTATACCGTGAACAGATACCACATCTTCCCATCTTCTGAGCAGAAATGCCGGTTGAGGTGAGCTACTGCAGATGAATGTTTTAGTCCGGAGAGATAGGTTAGATTATGCTCTGGTAACAAAGTAGTAGTCCTAAGATCTTAGTGGGAGCTTTCCACAACAAAGCTTTATTTTTCATTCAAATTACACATCCACCATTGGTCAGCAGAGAGAGGAGGCTCCTCCCTCCACATCCAAGCCCATGGAGGTTCAGACATCCTGGAGCTACACAACCCAAGAGTATGTGTCATTTCAGCTGCTACAGAAAGAACTGTGCTCGCAATTCAGTAGCCAGAACTAAGTGCGGGACCCTGTTTAATGGCCAGGGCCCTGGGAGTTCTTGAGGAGCACATGGTCGCAATGGGAAAGAAGAAATGTCCGTACATTAAAGTTAATGATGGGCCATCAGACACTTGGCCTAGTCTTAGCCAATGTAGTTATCTTCAACCAATTTATGAGCAATGGAGATTTTTTATACAAGGCGCTTAGAAAATTTAGACTTTATTTTGAGCTTTTTCTGCTATTTAAGTAAAGGAACTTCAGGGTGAGAGAAAGGAAAGAAATAAAATTTCAAGTACTTAGAAGGAAAATTTGATGACGTTATTAATCATACATAGTAATTTTTGAAAGAAGTCATTATCAGTGAACACATTTTCTTTTATAATCTAAATGACTTTAAATCCTTTCAGTTCCCCACGGAATACAATCTTATATTTAATTGCAATGTTAATATAACTAAATTCTGTCTTGTAAATAAATATTATTCTTATCCTGTTAGAGTTTCCACAGACGTGAAATACAGAAAACAGCCATGGGCCATTATCAAATCTGTAATTGAGAAGAATTCCTGGAGTTCATTGGAAGACTATTTCAAACAGCTTGGTTTGTAAATTTCTTGATTTATATATTTTTGTAAAGATAGCATTTATTAACAAAATGGACTAATTATTAATTTGGATTCATAGCAGAAACTGGTAGATGATGTTGGAATGTCTCCCACTGAAGTGTGGTTATGACTACCCCACTTGGAATTTCAAACTTCTAATTTTCATTGGTCTAACAAACACTTAAATAATTCTTACTGTAAGCCAGATATTGCTCTGTGTGCTTTATAAATATCAACTCATTACAACCTATGAGCTAGGTATTATTATTTTTTTCCATTTTACTAAACAAGAAGTATTGAAACACAGAGGAAGAGGTTAAACGATTAGCCCAAGATCACAGTTAGGAGATGTCACACTTGCCTGACTCTGCAGGGAGCCAAGGAAGCTGACTGCAGTGAGGGCCTACATACTGGATCACACATGTGCACCAGTACTTGTTAATGTATGGACAGTTCTCAGCCCACATCTGCCTTACCAACGCAGCTTTCCTGGGTTTGTGCAGGCCCACTACACAATGGTATAATGTACATGCATGAATTTTGTGGAGGTGGGTACTAGACTGGGGGAAGTCATACAATAATTCTGTTTGGATATTCCTTAAAATATACACGAGAAAAAAATATACCTACATGAGCATAATTAATTTTAGTTAAAGCAAAGCTGGTGGTCAGTCAACTCGGGTAATTTGCCTATCATCCTCTAGATTATTGATTGTTTTATTTCCTTGCTTTTCTTTCTTTGGTTATTTCATTATTAAACTCCTAATCAGGAGCAAAGAAAATGAAAATCAAAAATTAGTTTGGCCACTGGATAATGAGCTTCTAATGAAAAAAACTTGTAAAGGTAAAGGTTGAAACAATTGACAAAAAATGAGTTTTTTAGGTTGTTTGCAGATTTTCTTTATTAGGGCTTCCTTTTTTGCAAACCCTTATTGTAAATTAGTACTATTATTTGCTACTCCTTCCTTTGAAATTGACCATCAGGTACCATAATCTATCTTGGAAATCTTTCTAATGATCTAATATTAGTGGGTAGCCTGTTGTTTCTATAACTGAAATCGTTACATTAATATTTAATATAGTACATGGCAAATTTGCTCTGATGATCCCATCATTTATTAATAGAGTTCATTCTTCCTAGAATAATGAAGCCTTATTATGGGATCACTGTATTCTCTAAAACTTTTCATTAAGAGTAAGGTTTGAATGTAGGCCATAAGAACCCAAGTAATTGTTAAAGAAAGTTTCTAAGGCTTAAAAAAAACAGAACACAAAACAAACACCATATCCACTGTATCTTACAGTTGAGAAGCTTTCTCTAATACCTAAAGATTTTTTTTCTTCTTAGAATCAGATTTGTTAATGGAAGAATCTATGTTAAGTCAGCCCATTGAAGACCCTGGAAAACTTAGTGGCCTACGAAGGAGAAGGCGGACATTCAACCGAACAGCAGACACGGTTCCTAAACTTTCTCCTCAGCGTTCTTCTGGAGACGGGGGTTTAGACGACAAAGGGGATACTGCAGGTAGCTATTATCTGGTGGAAGATTTTAGTTTACTTATATGAAGCAGAATATGTCTCTTGAGCAGTTGCAAAATAGCAGGCGTATGGTCAATAGGAGTATCTTATTGGATCACAAGGCATTTTAAAAAATGGACATTTTATTAAAAACTCAGACCTGACAGCCCTGGACCAAATCCTTTCATAGCAACAGTTAGTTGGAACTTAATAGTAGCTGCTGCATTAGGCCATGTACCCAGTCACCAGTCCCCACCACTTGTCCCGGCTGCTGGACACTTCGCTCATTAATTTCCTGCTCAGCACTTACAGACATTTGATTTCTACCCTTGAATGTACTACAGTGATTATATGTTTTAATTCTTATATACTGTCAAGGCCAGTCCAGCAAAATTGCAAAGATGGAACTTCTTTGTTTTTTTAATCCTCTCCTGAGGACATTTTTCCATTCATTTTTAGAGAGAGTGGAAGAGAGGGAAAGACAGAGAGAAACATCGATGTGAGAGAAACACATCGATTGGTTGCCTCCTTCACACACCCTACCAGGCTCCAAGCTGGGGAGGAGCCTGAAACCAAGGTATGTACCCTTGACTGAGATTGAACCCCAGACACTTCGGTCTGCAGGCCGATGCTCTATCCACTGAGCAAAATGGGCTAGGGCGGAATTTGACTTTATTATCCTCACTGCTCTCAATGTTGAAGACATCCTGCCTATACTAACGTTATTTCCTCCCTCTTGGAATTCTAAAGCTGCAATACTTTCTCGTCCTTCTACATTATAAAATGCTCTTCTAAGGCTATTTTTCCCCCGCTTTTTAAAAATAAAAAAATATTTAATGTTGACATTGCAGGTGTCCCCCTTTCCTCCCCTTTGCCCACATCCACCCACTCCTGCCTCCCCCTCCCTTGGCCTTCTTAGTTCTCAGTGTGACTATGTTCAAGCCAATGGCCCAATTTTGGAATTTCAAAGTATGGGCAATAGAGAACAGGCAAAGATGACTTAAAATTTTTTTAAAGGAGGGAAATATTATACATAAACCTAGCTCAAATATTGTTTGCCAAGATAGAATTCAGCTAGAGATCATACATGATGTATTGAATTGCATATTTAATTTTAGAGCAAATTAATTTGTAGTATAGGCCAAATTTGGAGGATTCATGTAAGTTTTCTTTTTGTAGATGTGTTTCATATTACTCAGGATATCAGAAACCATGAAAAGATGCAGGGAATTCACCCTAAGTCACTTTGTCTTTACAAATAATTTTTAAAAATCTCTTTTCTAGTTCTTTTCAAATGAAATTAAAATTTTATTGGTTGTAATCATAATCCTGATTTTAATGCAGCCTTCTTTGTGTGTGATCTGTAGGAAAGAAAAAAGAAACGGAAAACTATCACACCGCCCTTATTGTGGTGATGAGTATTTTGTAAGTATTTATTTTGAATACTTATTTAGCTTATGATTTCACTTTTAACAGTTTACAAAAGGATTGATGCATTTGTATATTATTATGTAGAACTTGCCACTATTGGACCAGTTTGGGCCTACAGATACAGTAATTTTATAGTCTTCTGTTTCATAGTTGTTGATGTATAATTTTCAGAAGAATTATTAAATTTATAAATTATAAAATAAAATGTTTATTTTTTAAACTAATTTGATTTATTTTTTGTATCTGTAATTTATTTCTGTAATTTTAACAGAAAAAAAGTTTTTATGAGATGTTCCATAAATTTAAACGGAATATCTATATATATAAAAGTCTAAGCAACCATTATGATGAACAACCAGTTGACCAGTCACTATGATGCACACTGACCACCAGAGGGCAGATGATTAACGCAGGAGGAGCCCCCTGGTGGTAAGTGTGCTCCCACAGGGGGAGCGCCACTCAGCCAGAAGCCGGGCTCACAGCTGGCGAGCACAGCTGCAGTGGTGGGAGCCTCTCCCGACTCCGTGGCAGCACTGCCGAGTGGGGAGCAGCCGCAGCAGGTGCAGCAGGCCAGGATGAGCATGAGCAGCGTGGCGCCTGGCCCTGGTATGGGCTCCTCCCTGGCCGCCTGCTGCTTGGTGCACTGCTACATCCCTTGGGAGATGTCTGACTGCCATGGGAATCAGGCCTAAACCAGCAGTTGCACATCCCCCAAGGGGTCCCAGATTGTGAGAGGGTGCAGGCCAAGCTGAGGGGACACCCCCCAGTGCATGAATTTCTTGCCCCGGGCCTCTAGTTTATTTTTTTTATAATTTTTAAAATATATTTTATTGATTTTTTTACAGAGAGGAAGGGAGCAGGATAGAGTTAGAAACATCGATGAGAGAG